ACAGAGACGCACCCTTCCTGCTATTTAAGGGGTTCCTTCTGATGTGCAGAGCAGAGGAGCTTTAACCCCTTTGGAGTATGCTAATAGGATTAATTTATCCAGCATACAAAGAATACTAGTATTTTAAGGGTTAGAAGAGATAAAGATGACACTCTAGAATCACAAAGGACTTGATTTAAAAACGGAAAAAAAGAAGGAGGAAAAAAAAAAAAGCCATATTTTGTTTCATACTGACACAGCACTGATATGTATTGTTTATCTGGCTACAAGTTTGAAAATACAAATCTTGTCAGCCAAAGAGCAATAGGTCTGGATTTTCAAACTGAAGAATGTGCAGATGTTTTTGCCATGCCTGTATTATGCGTACAAAACCAGTCAGTCAGTCACCTGCCCGGCTGTGTTCAGGCACAAGATTTGTGATTCTGCGTCCGGGAAATACTTCCCAGGTTTTTAACTGGGAAGCAACATTTAAGATATTTATAAACATATGCACACAACCAACTTTGAAAATCAGTACGCAGTTGTAATGTTAGCTGCTTTTGGCATAGAACATGTCCCTATGTTATCAACTGTAGATAATGTGAATGGGTTATGTCTGTTTTGTATTTTTTCTACCTGAGTAACTGTATTTTTCTAGCATAATTATGAACAAATCTTCTTTAATCAACCACTATTTTTTAAATGACAATATATATGTAAGTGCATCTCTAGCTATCGTTTGAAGGAAAACACTATATGTGAACAGATTTCATTTTTGCCAGCTGTGGCCTTCTCTTGCCTTCCTGGAAATGCAAACAGAAACTTGCATAATCAGCTGCTTAGTGAAGCTGTGTTCTGCTAAAACAAAGTAGTTCTCTTAGTTAGCAGGCAACCTTCAGTTTGATAATGGGATTTTGGAAGATGTTGAGCAAATGCGACATGTGTAGGCTCAGAACTTAAAGTGCTTGACAGTTCTTAGCGTTATGTAGTGAACTGCTGTTTCTCCTGCCGTTACAAAAGCTTGTGTTGTGATAGCCAGTTTCTACCCAGCAAGAGTCTGGGGCACCTCCTTCCAGGGGCTCCTTCTAGGCTGCCCTTGGATGGTCATTCAGCATTAAAAAAAAAAAAAGAAGGTTTTCTTGTGCTTTGTGAAGGACAAGGTCTAACTTGGTTTCCTGCCAGAATGCAGAGCAAAGAGCTTCACGTTATTAACTTGTATTAACTTCTGCTGCCAGCATCCTAAAGAGTGCTAGAAAGATCCTCTAATTGACCTGATGGTGTTTTCCTTGTCTTGAAACGTATGACGTAATGCTGAATTAAGTCTTATTGCAGTACTGTTTAGAGTGCGCTCTCTATTTGCCATACAGAACTTACTACATGGTAAAAAGGCCTGTTTTCAAGAGAGAAAACTGCTTGGATGTTTAAGCAGTTGGCTGGGCTTTTGGGTCTGGGCTGTTTAATGGGAGATGGAGGGTGCAGGACCCTCCACTGTTAACTTCTAAGAACACTAACAGAGAGAGACCTGAGGTTGCACTGATGATGTTTATGGCTGGCTGTTACCTACGCACCCGCAGGACGAGCTGGGTGCGGATAGATGTGCTAGGATGCTCCAGGCTTGTCAAGAGCAGTGGCATCATTACCGAGGGTTGTGAGAGACAAACACTAAGCAAGGAGACATTGAGGTTACTGGGTCTCCACAGCTTCATCTTTGTTGTCCAAAAGACACTGAACAGTCATCTTATTTGTTTAATGCTCAGTGGTTTTGTACTGCAGAGACCACATCACGGTCCCTAAGTGTCATGACCTGAATGCCACGTTTGCTGAAGCAAAATACGGATAAGAGCTTTGCATTCCCATAAACTGAATGCTTTTCAGATTTTGTATTTTACTACATAATCAAATCTTGTAAGGCCATGTTACACATGGTGATCGCACCATAAGTTAGTGTAACCAGTTTCTGGAGGTGTGCACTTTAATTTTCTTTTTGACTGTTAAACTGATAAACCCTCTCTGATCAAGAGTCAGTTTTAGACAGCTATGCTAATTAGGCTTTAATGTGTTGTCCATATAAAAAATAACACTGAGACTATACACAATATGTAAGAAAGTAACAGCTCTCAGTTAATCATCATGAAAACCGAAAAGATTTAAAAGTTTCATTCTTCAGAATATATATATATTGGAGATCTTTAGGAGAATCACATGGAAAACTGGAAATAAGGTACTTGTTATTGGGGAGGGGTCATAGTAAGAAAAGTTTTTTAAATCTCCTGGTAATTGTTTAGCCAGAAGTTGTATTTTCTATCTCTAAAGTGATCAAGCAGAACAAATTATAAACTATTTTGTAATTCTCTAAAATAAAGACATAGTTTGTAAAGAAGGAATCAAGAACTGTTTTAACCAAAATTTGTGGTTTATGAATATTTTTATTAATGTTGCATTTTAGTTTCTGTAGCTCAGAGTAAGTACTAAAGGAGCGGTAAAAGCTTTGGAGCTTTATTTATAAAAATCCATGCCGTCCTTCAGATTTTTTCATTGTTCCTTTGAAGTCTCATTCCTTATCTTTTCTGATTGCAATTGGCAAATAGATAAAATCAGCAAATAGATAAAAGTAAACTACCCAAGGTGTGTGTGTGCCAGAGTAGCACTGTTTATTAAGTTGTGTAGTGACATATCGGCCATTATAACTCATAAGTGCCTTGAATATGACAAGATCTATCATGAACCACTTCTCCAACGCTGAAGTGAATCTACTCTATGCCTACCTGTCAAGGAGCTGAAAGTGTATTTTTTTGTTAGGTACAGTTATTGGATTACCTATATACATGGGGAGGATATATATAGCAAACTACAGAAATTATGTAGTGAATAAATGGTATATTATTTTAGGTATCCCTGTTTGCCAACTGGTATTTCATCTTGAAAAAGCTTTTCAACAATGGAAGTGCCAATGGAAGAAGTGAATGGAAATGTTTTTACGTGGAGAACCATTGCAATTTAAATATTTTTTTCTTGAGATTTATTTACAGAGGGAAATGACAGAGAAGGGCAATATAGTCTCCTGTTTGTAAGGCAGTATGTACTCATCCTGATGTTAGGAGGTGGATTCCTCCCTGCCTGTAGTTACCTTACTGGCAAGCACAGAGTCTGTATAAGATCCTACAGTTAAGTACAGACATCATATAGTTATATACAAGGCATCATATGTATTTATTCATGCCACAGCTAAAGAAAACAAGTAATTCTAATCCTCTGCAAGGTTTAATCCTTAAGGACTAGATTTCAGTGATATTTGCAATTCCTGGGCAGAAAAAGTCCCACTTGAATGAACAGTGATTGTAACAGATCATCGCAAAGATTCAGGGGCAGTCGAGGTAAGTGTTTTAACAGAGAAAAATAATAAACCAAAGTATTTCTTCATTAATGCTGCAGTATAATAGCCAATGTCTGTCTGTCTGTCTTTGTCTTTTTTACTTTCTGCTTTAAGCAAGTTCTCTGTGACAAATCCAAATGTCTGCGAGTCTTCATGTGCCCAGGGGAAGGAAGGGAGCTGTGTCCTGTTACCAGGAGTTGACATCCCAGTTTTCTGTACTAGGTGGTACTGCCAGGGGAGAGGGAAGGGAAGAAATCCCAACGATAAATGGGTTTAGTAGTCTTATTTGTTTAATGTTCCTGTAAGCTTCTGCTGCTTTTTCTGCCTTCTGTATTGCCTTGCTGGGACCATCCGCTGCCTTAAAGACCTCGCCCTCTATCATGGAGGCCGGGCTTTGTATCAGCGACGTGCTGCTGCAGAAGGTGGTTAGTCTGAATGAGGCTATTTCGTACAAATACTAGCGGGTAAATCCTAGGTGTGTTGATGGGATCTGGCAGGATGTCCTTTCTGCCCTGTGCGGTTATAAAATGTTGTTGTAGATAAAGGCAGTATTTTGTTAATACATGTGTTAGGGCTGACCATGTCCAGTTGAACATCATCACTTCAGTGTATCACTTATGAATTCAGTGGATGTTCCAGAGGCACATTAAAAACTCTTGTGCCCATTATCATCTCATTTTATATCTATGGTTTACACTGCTGTCTTTGATATGTTGTTGCCAACTGCTTGTTCTAGTAAATTGTCAATGTATGGCAGTTTAATTGAAGACTAAAGGGTGTGTACCATTTTAAGAAATAAAGTCAGTGCACATGCAATTTGATAACTATTTTTCTTTTATTTCTTTAATCTGGTTTCTGTTTCAATGAAGGGATGGGACTCTCTTTGCAGTTAGAGCAAACAGAGGAATAACAAACTGATCTTTGGCATTTCAGTTCTATTCTTCCACATTTCCTTCTAGCAGAAGCTTGTACTGAGTAATTAATTCTAAGTTTTCCTTTTTCATTTTAACCATGGCCTGCATCTGCAATCAGCATACCCTTCTGGCTACACCTTTCACTCACTGCAGTAGAGAAGGGGGTAAATGGCTCTGCAGAGCTTTCATTTGCAATTGTGACCTAAATTAAACAATCTGGATTGAACCATTAATCACTGGTGAATGTGTCCAATGGGTCTCCCTGGCACCCCCCCTTCACACGCACACACGTGCGCACACAAACATCTAATAGGCTCCCAAGTTGCCTGTGGAAAAAACACATCATTAAAATTAAATAATTGCATTTCAAAATTGTGTGCGTCTGCTGCCCACACAGCTCACTCCACTAAACTGACAGTTTTATAAGGGCTTCAAAAGTTAAGAATAATTTTTGCTAGATACTGAAATAAGTGACCACTTATAAGCAGTATGGATGAGGCAGCCGCAAATTGTCATGTTGAATGGCATTATGCTGGCACTGATATATTTATTTTTTTTTTACTTTTTTTAATGCAAAAGCCTTCTGTAAAACTTGAGCAATACACGCTGCTATTTCTGCCCTCTGAGCCAGACTAAACTGCTAATTACAGTGCAAAGTTTAAATCTGAGATGCATTTCTTTACAACACATTTAACCTTCGCTTCTATAAAAGCAGAGCATCCCTGCTGAAGGCTTCAGGAAAACTACTGACACACCCTGGTTTCTTTAAACAGAGAATGCAGTCCCATCATTTCCAATATTTTAATGTCACAAGTCAAAAAAAAAAAAAAAGGAATTTTTATTGTATATGGACAGACTCCTGCGTCAATAGAAATTTCTCAGTTTTTGTTCAGCGTCGGCCGCACAGACAGATGGCTGGTGACAGTTGTTACTCGGTCAAGAGACATGAAGGACTTGTTCTTAAGCAAAACGCGTACGTGTGTTTGTGTGTGTGTGTCATGTGCTCTGTGGATTTCTGCTACGGTGGAAGTCTGTTCAATGTATCTGTGTATGTTCGGCGCGTGGGATCTCAGTCCAGAGCCAGCAGCGGTTGGGTGTTCTCGATTTCCCCCTGATCTTCATGTTTCAGCGTGCCGGCTTCCACCACAGACTGGGACCTGAAAACAAGAAGACACGCATGCTAGCAAAGGCTGTTGCAGGAGCACTCACCTTCCTGGAGTCCCTTTGCTTCATTTATTGATTTTTTTTGCTTTTGTCCATTTTCACCTTTGTGGCTTTCTATTTCTTTTCTGCGGAACGCATCAGGAATTTGAGAAGTGTTCCTTTGAATATGAACAGGGATGTGACTCATTGCATGACTCAAACGCTTCCCAAATATTTAGCACTTAGCCACTATTCATAATGCTGAATGCACTTACCAACTTAAAGGCTTGATCCTGAGAAAACATGAGGTCTGTTGGTCTGTAACGTGTTCCCAGGCAAAACTGTTTGTGCCACTGCTTACTGGAATACTTTGCACAAGGAAAGTCACTCGTACAACTGCTTGCACGAGTGAGTCCCAGCTTATGCTTGTTACAAATCTCGAGAAAGACAAGTAGATAAATCACATTTTACTGAGATAGGAGTGTAAGGGGCAGAAGTTTCGTGAGTTACCAAAGATCAGTGAAGAAGCCAAAATTAATATGACAACGAGGGAGCTTCTGGTGTACCTAGTCCTGCAATTTATCTTTATCTCCTTGTCTACACCTCTGAAGGACAACTTTATTCAGGGCTACTCTATTTTAAATTCATTTCTGTCTTCAAGGTGGGAAGCATAGTTTGTCTTTTGCTGCTAACGGACAACTAAACCCCAAAAACCAACACGTAAAATATGAGTAAACACTAGAGAAAGTGGAGCATCTTGATTTCTGGCAGTGACAAAAGCTGAGTGGTCTTAAGCTAGTGGGGAAAATTCAAGACTATTACTGAGGTCTGTGTGCTCCACTGTTTGCTCACTGAGCTATGGAAGGAGGAACTGATGAGTTTATTGTTACAGAGATTTGTTATCCTCCATTTTCTCTGGTTTGGGCTAGGGGTTGCCTCCCAGATTGGAGTGGGCAATGAGCTTTAGAGCAAAATCACTCTGTGAATTGGGAACTTTTAAAAAGGGAACTTTTTCAAAGGTAGGGGTAGAATCATACAGCCCTGCCATTTTTGTATTGTTTTAAAGGGCCAGTTTTCTCATGGATAGCTTTTAGATTTGGGCTCTCATTCCCAGGGTGTGTTTGTAGTTCCCATTTGTTTATTATGGTATCCTCAGTTTAAGCCTTATCTGTTTCATGAGTTTAGATAAGATAAGAATCATTAATAAATGGCATCCTTTGGTACTGCAGCACTTGATTGGGACTGAGTATCATAACTGTGAATAAATTGTACGATTATTTTTCTTATGCTTGGAGCTTTCATCAAAGCATAATAAAAAAATTTCATTTAAAAAAACCTCCAAAGAGAGATAACAAAAACTGGATGTTCAATGGGAACGCTTTATGCCAAAATTTTCAAATAAAATATATTTGCTCAAACGTTTTCTCTGGGTATTTTTTACAGTAATGTGACATGCATAATGTTTATGACTGTGTTTTAATATAGAAAAGCAGCTGATTCAGGAGATTATGCAAAATGGCAGTTTACATTTTTCTAGTATGTGGCAGCAAAAACTAATCCTGTGCCTTTGAAACTGGTGCAGAATGGATTCAAATCTCAACATCAACAGGTTTTTATTTTCTTTTCTGGACCACCAGATTAAATTATTAATAAATAGTACCTGATTAATTTTTGTCACCAATGTATTGTTTCTGTCTGACCCACTGCCTTACAATGAATGTAAAAAGTCGCAGATCCATTGCAGTATTTGTCAGCATACAGCAGAAAGTTTCTGCTCTAAGTCAAAAGTGAAAAGGCTCACAATTTTGCCTTTTGTAATTACTGCTGATTATCTCGCTCTGATCTCATTACACCCTAAAACATTCTTGCTTCTGTAACAGCAAGATACCAGTTTCTCCCCCATACTGGTACTCTCAGATGCACGCCAAGTTGGGAGCAACATAATCTCAAACTCTGTATGCAAGTCCTATCCTGCTCCTCTTCACACACAGCCAAAATAGCCAGAGCATCGAGTAAACACATTGCAGCCCACCTGACCTCCAAATTCAAGATTCCAAAAGATTCAAATGCTGTGCCTAGCCCTTCTAAATAACATGAAGAGGGATCCAGCTGAGATTTCAGTGTCTGCCAAGCTTTGCAGCAACAATCTCTTTTCTTTTTCTGCTAGAAGCTGCTTAGCCCCCTAACCTAAAATAAGCAGTTCAGAGATCTATCTGAAAGGCACAGTAGTAATTTAAACAATCATCATCAGTATTTTCTAAGACGCCACACTAAAGGACTTGCTGTTGTGTTTGGATTTCCATTTTCCAAATGCATCAATTTTTTGTTTGTTGAAAAATTTTTTCAGTTTTGTTTTAACTTAAAATTTATGTAGG